TTTGACCCCCCAGCCTGAGAGATGGATCACTTGCCAAATTAGTGGGAGGGAAGCACAGCAGCCACTCGGTCTTATCTACTTACCTTCGCTACTGGTTGGCAAATGTGAGCATGCGCAGAACCTTCCGCACATGCACAGTGTCCAAAACAGATATGGTGGTGTCTGGGTGGGTGGGCGGAGCCTGCTACCGAGTGCGCCTGCAAAGGTAAGTAGAAAAGCGAGTGGGGGGGGGAATCCGCTGTGCCACACGATTTAGATTAGCTGCTTTCTAGCCAATAGAAACCGTGTGTCACAACTGATCCTAGGAAATACCAGTTTGCCCGACCCAAGAGCCTTTTTTTACTCCCAGTTCAAGCGAACCGGTCTGAACCGGTAGCATTTCCCCGCTGAGCCTGTCCTCCCCCTCCCTCAGGACTAGCCACCTTAGGAAGCTTAAAAGGAAAACTTGGAAACCTTTTGCAAGAATTCAGTGCATATTTCAGCCTCTTCTACGGATTCAAATTGTTTAGAAATGTATTTATTAATTAGAATATGTGACCGTTCAGCTCAGATAAGCGGCTCTGGTCAGCTGACACAATAAAAATATCAACACAAGAACAAAAGACAATAAATATAATGCGCGAAAGAAAAATGGGCACCAAGGATAAACCAGGCAGCCACAAATTCATTCAGTTTCGTCTACAGGGAGTCCTCGACTTAAAACAGTTCATTTAGAGACCATTCAAAGTTACAACAGGATTCAAAAAAAGGGACTGATGACCATTTTCCACACTTGTGACCGTTGCATCATTCCTGTGTTCGTGTGACCAACCTTTGGCCGCTTAGCAACTGGCTCATATTTACGACTGTTTCAGTGTTCTGGAGTCCCATGATCCCCTCCTGTGTCCTTTTGACAAGCAAAGCCTATGGGGAAGCCAGTTTCACTTAATAACCGTGTTACTAACAATTTGAGTGATTCATTTAACAACCCTGGCAAAAAAGTCGTGAGCAAATGTTTCACTTAAAAGCAGAAATGGGCTGAATTCTGGTCATAAGTAGAGGACTACCTGTACCAGGCTAGACACCAGGAGGCAGTGAGTTCAAGTCCCACCTCAGGGACCAGAGTCAGCTGAGTGATTTTGGGCCAGTCATGGTGTCTCCACAGGGTTGTTGTGAGGAGAACAGGAGAAGGAAAGAGCATTATTTATGTCCTTAGCCCTGAGTTCTTCATGAAAAAGATAAAGGTGGGATGTGAACAGACAAACTCAGGGGCTTCACTCTCTCCAGATCTCAAGGACGCCTGAAAGAAACACAAACGGCCATCGTGGTTCAGCCTGATCCAGTGGTGGGATTCAACATTTAGAACCTCTTCTGTAGGTGTGGCCTGCTTTGTGGGTGTGGCTTGCCAGCCATGTGACTGGGTGGGAGTGGCTTGCCAGCCGTGTGTCTGAGTGGGAGTGGCTTGCCAGCCATGTGACCGAGTGGGAGTGGCTTGCCAGCCATGTGACCGNCAAACAAACAAACAAACAAACATCAGGGTTGACTCAGCCTTCCATCCTTCCGAGGTGGGTAAAATGAGGACCCAGATTGTTGGGGGCAATATGCTGACTCTCTGTAAACCGCTTAGAGAGGGCTGAAAGCCCTATGAAGCGGTATATAAGTCTACTGCTATTGCTATTTAGGAGACAATCCAAGGAGCAAAACACAGCACACAGTGACAAAGACATTTAACAGTGGTTTATATGCAAGACATATACAGAAATATACGTGGCAGCAAATACCTGGCAAGCAATCAATCTTCTTCTTAACTCTGCACTGAGAACTTAGCAATGGATACCAGACACAAGGAGAGAGAGATACATGGAGAGAGAGAGAGAGAGAGATACGCCCTCTCCTGGCTGCTTTATATAAACACCTCTTAAAGTGGTAAAGTCTTGTGTGGACCCCCTAACGAAGTCTTAAAGTGGCTATGCCAATGCTGATTCATCTTCATTGCATCAGCCTTACATTTCATCAGCTTTACAGTTGCATCAGTTTACGTTGGCTGGTCACCTTTAAATCATAATTACCCCTGACCGAATGCCTGTCCACGCCTTTGATGTAATTTATTGTAGGGATGGTGTACAAGTGTGGTCTCCTCCTTTGGAGCGTTTAGTACTCTTGATCTGAAGAGGAGAAGATTGATTCGGATATGAAGGGGTGAGAGATAAAGCAAAATAAGAGGGGCCGAAGCCCAGTTAAGGGGATGGCACTTTACTGCTTTTGATACAAGTGGTACAGATAGCTCTTGACTTTTAACAGGTTATTAAATGACTCTTTGAAATTCCAACAGATCTTCCTCTCTCTATTGCCCCCAACAATCTGGGTCAATACATTTGCCTCCAGAATTTTCATTGGTTTTCATCTCTTTTGAAAGAGAAGAAGAGCCACGGCGGTACAACAATTAGAATGAAGTATTGCGGGCTAACTCTGCCCACTGCCGGGGGTTCGATCCTGACCGGAGGGTGGACTCAGCCTTCCATCCTTCCGAGGTCGGTAAAATGAGGACCTGGATTGTTGGAGAGCAATAGGCTGACTCTGTAAACTGCTTAGGGAGTGTTGTAAAGCACTATGACGTGGTATATAAGTCTAAGTGCTATTGCTTTCTGTACTGAGTATCAGTCTTCATTCTTCACTGCTACCTCACTCCTTATCTTTCCTATGCTTCCTGAGAGCCTTGATGGCGCAGTGGTTAGACTGCAGTCTACTTCTGCTGACTGCCTGCTGCCAGCAGTTCGATTCTCACTGGCTCAAGGTTGGCTCTGTAAACCGCTTAGAGGGGGCTGTAAAGCACCGTGAAGCGGTATATAAAGTCTAAGTGCTATTGCTGTGCCATGTATACAACAAGTCGGTTTGGAAGTGCTGCTCCACGCCAGCGCCCCCATTCATTATCCATTTTTAGATCGTACTGACCCATCTCCAGATAGTTGGCATTGGAAACGTGATGCGTAATATGTTCAAAAAAACAAATTCTTCAGTTTTACCTATCTGTTTATCTGATCTAATCTTAATTTCCATCCGTTGAGAAATCTGGCAACTAACCTGATCGCAGACTGGGCTGTTGTCATTCACATCGGTGACGGTCACTTCCACCGCACTCTGGGTGACGAACAGTCCATCAGTGGCTGTAATGTTCAGCAGGTAGACATCCTGTTCTTCTCGATCCAGAGGCCTCTTGACATACACCTTCCATTCATTCTGAACCAGGCCAAGAGCAAACTTCCCTTTGGGGTTTCCTCCTGTGGCAAAAGCAGAAAAAAACAAGACAAAAATATGTTGCTTCAGGCAGGATATTAAGAAGTCCTAAAGGTTTCTCGCAATGACTTCTGCTCAAGCCAAAGAGTTAATACTGATCCATGTTAGTTCATCTGTCACGGATCGAGGGAACTGTAACAGAGAATAGAGAAGAACAAGAGCAGAAGTAGTAGTTTAAAAAGTATGTTCGGGGAAAGGAAAAGCTGATAAGAAGGCGGTTGAAAATTAAAAATCAGATTTGAAAAAAAAATCCAAACATCTGTCATGGATCGAGGGAACTGCAACAGGGAAGAGATAAGAAAAAGAAGAGAGGAAGTAGTAGTTTAAAAGGATATGCTGGGGAAAGGAAGGGCAGGTGAGAAGGTGGTTGAAAATTAAAAATCAGATTTGAAAAAAAAATTGAAAGATTTCTAAGAATTGTCATATTTAAGGCATGGGGATGTTATGGCTTAGCAACTAAAGACCCAGGGTGCTATACCATTAAGAATTAGTATAAAGATAGACATTAGAAATGGGGAGAAGATCACTTTTTTTGATTTGGGAACTATTCTATTAACGGGTAGAAAATAGCAGCAGAATTTAGAAATCTGGATATGTAAACAAAGATGCGTACTAGAATAATGAACATCGAGTAATTAAAATAACTAAACCTTATGATTATTTGGAGATGAATTGGCTATAAATGTGTTGTCTACTTGATGTTTATAGATGTTTGACATTATTAATGGATTATAGATAAAATTAAACAGAGGGCCTAATCAAACAATGCAAAATTCTTAATAAGTGGAGATGAAGAGGTATTGAGAGTAATAGTTACAACTACTGTGTGTATAAGATTTATTATAGGTATTCAACAGAGAATGTAGAGATTGCACCCGGACGGTGTTACTGTTATTGTGAATATAGAAATCCTATACATAACTAAGAAAACTGTACAATAAAAAGTAATTTAAAAAAAGACCCAGGTGCAAGACCCCAGCACTGCATGTTACTTGCCTCAGCTCCTGATGATGTTACCTAGTTTGGTAATGAAACGTCTGCAAGGAAGCAACCAAGCTCAGAGAGCACCAAGGACTCCACAGTTCAACTCTGAGCTGTAGATATTCTCTTCTATTGGAACTACTAAAGAAGTAAGAGCATTGTTCTCTTCTCACAGCCCATCTTCCTGATGCTTCTCAAGCTCCTTCTCCTTCACAATTTTGAAGAACGTTTCCATAGCCAGCAAAAACAACATGCCACACTGACCTTCCCCTAACCTACCGAGAATAAGTTAGCTAATTATAGTCCGCATCCTTCTGAGCTCATCCTGGCAACATGTTGAGACGCTTGCATTTCTCACCGTGAATCCCAACGGCAACTTTCTACCATGTTTTCCCCAAAGTAAGACCCCCAGATCTAGTGGATTGGGAAAGAATTTGGAACACAAATTATAAACTAACACGATCAGCAACACTTAAAGAAAATATATACAAAATGTTTTATCGTTGGCATTTATCACCAACAAGATTGGCAAAAATGTACCCGAACATGAAGCCGACCTGCTGGAAGTGTAAAAAAGTACAAGGGACCTATTATCACATATGGTGGACCTGCCCGGAAACACAAAAATATTGGACAAAAATTTGGAAATGGGTGCAAGAAATTACAGGAGAACAGATAAAATACAAACCCGAAATCTTTCTACTGGGAATAATCAAAGGGAAATATATGAAGAAAATTAAGTACATATTAACACATCTGCTAACTACAGCTAGAATAGCATTTGCCCAATGCTGGAAACAAAATAATACCCTCTTGGACGAATTAGTGATTAAAAACATTTTGGATTGTGCAGAGATGGACAAATTAACACTGGAATTAAAAGATAAAGAAGAGTCGGAATATTATGAATTTTGGAACAATTGGTACAAATGGCTGCAAAACAGGAACAAAATTAATTAAACCAAAAAACAATATATATATAAATATATATAGAACTGTGTATAAAGTGTGTAAATATAGAAGCGAAATATTATATACATGTATTATGACATAACAATGTTGATGTCGGGACTTTAAGATGTTGTAGAAGGGAAAAAGTAATAAAAAAATCTGTCAGAAAAAAATAAGACCCCTGTCTTATATTTTTGCCACCAAAAAAAGGCACCAGGTCCTGTTTTTGGGGGTGGGGGAAAGAATGTTGTCCACTGACTCATCTCACTGGTGTGTGTTGGCTCCCAGCCTCCTTTTCGCTGTCAGGGGTCTTCAGGAATTTCTTCGGCCGGCAAGTCTTTCCTGAAGGCCTCTGAAGCCAATAATTGATCCTGAGCTCTGTTATTACTTACAGGAAAGATTACCTGGCTGCAGAAAAAATGGGCCAGCAAGGCAGGTGGTGGCGGGGTGTGCGAGGCCTGGCTGCAACTGTCTGAAGATAAGCTCCACCTGCCCATCCCCGCCCTAGCTTAATTTTTACCTGTGCACCCTGGAGTGGGCGGGATCTTAATTAGGGCTTATTTGAGGGGTGGCAGAGGTGGTATTCAGCAGGTTCTGGTGAATCGGTAGCGGAATACAGTATCCTTCCCCTGGAGTGGGGAGGGAATGGGGATTTTGCAGTATCCTTCCCCTGGAGTAGGGAGGGAATGGGGATTTTGCAGTATCCTTCCCCTGGAGTGGGGAGGGAATAGGGATTTTGCAGTATCCTTCCCCTGGAGTGGGGAGGGAATGGAGATTTTGCAGTATCCTTCCCCTGGAGTGGGAGGGAATGGAGATTTTGCAGTATCATTCCCCTGGAGTAGGGTGGGAATGGAGATTTTGCAGTATCCTTTTCCTGGAGTGGAGTGGGAATGGAGATTTTACAGTATCCTTTCCCTGCCACGCCCACCAAACCACGCCCACAGAACTTGTAGTAAAAAAAATTGAATCCCACTACTGGGGGGGGTAGGGCTTATATTGGGCACACGTGTAAAAATCAATCCAGGACTTACTTTTGGAGTAGGTCATATTTTCGGGGGAAACACGGTATGCAAACGACAACCCCGTGAGCCAAGTTGGGAGACGGGATCCTTGTTTTGCTCCTCTTGAGGGTAATCAGATTCAAACAGTGAACAATCAATAGGCTTCACGCGGCACAATTCTCTTCCCACTTCAGTCTCGAGGGGACGTGCTTCAACCCCCTCATTCCGGTTACTAGGACAATTTCATTAGCTGCTGATTATGCAATCAAGGGAGTGCAGCAGGATGTGTTAATGGAGGTCTCTTCTCCCTTCCTCCCCCCCCCTCCCCATACCGCTGGTGTTGTTTCTGTATTCGTTACAATGCTTGTTTGGGGGTGTGTACGTGTGTTGAGTTGAGTGCCGATTTCCAGAGCCTGCCAAATGCACAAAGACACATGATCTTTAAGTAGACCTAACAAGAGGTCGTTTAAAGAGCCGTTTCAAGATAAGGCTGGCAATTAAAGTAAATTTATACAAGAGGAAAAAGCCAGCGAGGAAGAGAAAGGATGAAGCTAATCAGCTCGCTATTACCCTAGAAGTCTGACTCTGAACACAGGGATATTACTTTTTCCACATCATTAAATTGCGTGGTGCAAAATCAAGTCGGAATGCTTGTCTCCCCCGTCTTCCACAAGGGAAATAGAGCCATTTCAAACATTGGTGTATACAAGGAGTAAAAAGCAGGGAATAATGATTTTGATCCATGTTCCTTAAAATTCCCAGTGTTTATTTATGCCTTGATGTTAAAAGTCTAGAGAGATTCTCAATCATCCGGTTTCATGATTGTCCAAAATGTCCCTTTTTCAAAAGGCAACTGGATTTTCTTGGGGAGGGTGGGGGGGTCTTGTCTAATGGACAGATAGTTTATCCTTCACTATTTTTGTTGCCAATTTTAACGCTAGTTTTTATACTTGCTGTCATTAATTTGGTGGTCTTGCTATTTAATCATAGCCCCCTTTTTCCATTGCATTTTTAGCTATCCGAGTAAACTACAGTTCTGTTATTTGTTTTAACAATACCAATAGCACTTAGACTTATATATCGCTTCGCAGTGCTTTACAGACTTCTCTAAGGGGTTTACAGAGTCAGCATATTGCCCCCCAAATCTGGGTCCCCATTTTACCGACCTAGATGGAAGGCTTGAGTCAACCTTGAACTGATGAGAATCGAGCAATTCCCCATGGCCATCTTGCCACAGCCCACCCATCGTGGAACCACCTGCTGTGGCCAACTCACTGTGGAACAATTTGTTATGGGCCAAGAGCTACACTAATACAGAGGTCAGGAATCTTAAACACTCGAGAGCCACAAAGATCCTAACCAGAAACCACCTGTTCAATTCTGGAGCCAACCGGAAGTCCCCACCATAGAGCCTCCTCCTAGCATGGCATCCTTTTTCCTCTGCCAAGCGAAAGTCCACTTCCCCCACCATAGAGTCTCCTCCTAGCGCAGCATCCTTTTACCTCTACCTGTCCTAACCGAAAGCCCTAACAACTGTGGAGCCGACTGGTGGCAGGGAGCTGCAGCGGAGGGATGAAAGAGCCACATGCGGCTCCAGAGCCCTAGGTTGCTGACCCCTGCCCTAATAGCAAAGAAACAGTGGGACAAAATCATTAACAAAGGGATGCAAACGGAAGGACAGAATGAAATGTAAATGTCAAAAATTTACATTTTTTTTAAATTTTATTTTAAACAATTGAATTGTTAAATTGTGCTGCGGCAAGTTGTCCCATTTGGTTTCTTCCCTTTTGAAAATGTTTTGCTTTCGGAGAAGTTCTTCTCTGAACTGAAGAATCTTCTTGGATGTGAAGTGAAATGTTTTCAAAGGAGAACAAAACAATACCAAGGAAGTCCAGTTGGGTAAAAACACCTTTGGGATGATGTTAAAAGTGACATTATCCTACGAGCAGGGGTGGGATTCAGCCGGTTCGAGCGAACAGTAGCTACAACAATCAGCTGGGGAGCTTCCACAGTGATCCTGGGGGCTGGGGAAGGCAAAAATGAGCGAAAAATGGGCCAATTTTTTTGCTCGTTTTTGTCTCCCCCCCCCAGTCCCTTAGGAACACTCTATAAACTTCCTAAAGGCTATGCATGCCCTTTTTTTTGGCAAAAAAATATATGTTTTTGTGAAAAACGGGCCGCTTTTGGGTCTGCAGAGTGCAAAACCTTTTTTTAAAAAAATTTGCCAGTTTAAAATCTTGGTGCGTGTTATACTCCAGTGCGTGTTATACTCCGAAAAATACGGTATATAAAAATAAGGACAAATCCCATTCCCTTTTAGCACCGATGATGTTGGTAATAAAACATCTGTAAGAAAACCACCAAACTCAGAAGACACCAAGGACCCCCCCAGTTACATTTTCCTGTCTGCAACATACTATACTCATTGTCAATGGAGGTGTTTTGGTTTCACTTTACTAGAAGGCATCTCAAAGAGAACTTGTTCAATCTTCTACTTGGACCTTTGATCACAATCATCTTCTTTTAACGTCCCCATAATCCCTTGCATCAAGGTCGAGTCTGGGCAACTGAATGGAGCAAGCAGAGTGTTGAATAGCCAGACGCCCTTCCTGTCGCCAGTGCGGAGTTTTGTTCAGCAGATATATTCTCATTGTGCCCAGAGAGAGAAATATCTGCCTCTACCTAAGGATCGAACTCACAGCCTCCTGATTGTGAGACGAGAGCTGAAACTCTAGGCCAGTGGTCCCCAACCCCCGGTCCGCGGACCGG